GGGTTGCCAAGGATGCTAGTATTGCCAGATCCCTGCCTATTTACACTGCCTTTATCTCCTCTCTCTTCCTTAAGCCCTCTGTGTTTTGAAATCCACTTCGACTGTCCATCCTTCTTAAAACAAAGGGCACATTCCTGACATTTCCCCAGTGCCTTTCATTCCAAAGGGCTGTGCCGAACTCACTTTGGCTCCCCATTAAGACAAGGCGAGGCGGCCGTGCCAGCCCCGGCTAATCTGACAATCCGTGAAGGGGATCTCGTGTAATTGCAAGTTATCTGCATTCTTCCAGGCCCAGAGCCATCCCCAGTTGCCTCTGAAGTTGTGGAGACGCATTTGATCCCTCCTGGGTTTGATCCTCCCGGGTGGCACAAGGGGAGCCTCGTCATTCGTGGCACCCGCCCTGCACATTTCTTGTGGGGAGACAGTATGCGCATGGCACTGGCTGCCTCCCAGTCAGTCCTGCTGCAAGTGTGAATGGTACTGTTCTCCTTGCAGGCCATTTTCCCCTAAAGCAAGGGCTGGGAAGGGAGTGTGCTATTATATATTCTGAAAGCAAACAAGAAGTTTTAGGAGAGCTGGACAGCTGGCCTTTCAGTGTCGGAAAGTAATGAAGGATCCTATTGCAAGTGTAAAATTCTGTATGGCATTGAGTGAAATTTCCATATCTTTCATGGACTGGAAGGGGAATTAGTACATCTCATTTTTTGATTACTTCTCCAATGCCTGGAGAAGTTTGACTAGCCTACACTCTTTCTCCCTTGTCCTTCCTTCCTTCCTTCCTTCCTTCCTTCTCCTGGCTCATGTGCAAGTATTTTGTGGTTGGGTTGTTGTAGGTTTTTTCAGGCTATATGGCCATGTTCCAGTGGCATTCTCTCCAGACGTTTCGCCTGCATCTATAGCAAGCATCCTCAGAGGTAGTGAGGTCTGTTGGAATAGGAAAAAGGGTTTATACCAGTATTAAAAAACTCTAAAATTAAAACAACAGCAGAGGGAAAACAATCAGGGACATCTAATCACCTCTCAACAAAAATTGCTCCAGGCACTTCCAGGCTATCAATGCTAATCAAGGTGGTCAGTTGAAACATTCACACCTAGCTCCAGCAGACAAGAGTCCTTTGTCCCACCCTGGTCATTCCACAGATATATAACCCCATTTTCCTAGTTCCCAACAGACCTCACTACCTCTGAGGATGCTTGCCATAGATGCAGGTGAAACGTCAGGAGAGAATGCCTCTAGAACATGGCCATATAGCCCGAAAAAACCTACAACAACCCAGTGATTCCGACCATGAAAGCCTTCGACAATACATGTTTTGTGGTTATTTGCCATCAACTTCGACATAGTACCCCTATAAAAGACCTCAAAGATACCTATTTATTTATTTACAGTATTTATATCTCACCCTTCTCACCCTGAAGGGGACACTTACGGCAAACATTCAATGCTGGTTGTAATGGCACATCCGAGCCTTTGGGAAACTATATTGTCTGGCTTTACTCAGGGGCTACCTGATACCTTCTGTTAAGATTAAGACCCTTTAACATACAGAGGCACTTTAGGCAAGGTGAAAAGATAACCAAATCAGTAAAACAAGATGAATAAAGGGTTAACTCCACCTGGGACTATCATAAGGTAACTTAAAACAATACATTGCAAAAGGAGATTTTGCTGGTTGCAGTCATCTTTCTGGAATTCGAAAGTCTTCTGTCTCTGGTGTAAAACGATGGATTCTATGTTGTTGCTTACAAACTGTCTTAATCTTCTCTTCTGTGAAGCTTAGGCTGGCCAAAAGCTTCTGTTGTCCTTTGGACTGCTAAATGCAGCAGGTACTAAGAATGCCTGTTTGGATTGTTTGGGCCTAGGATTCCAGACAGTATCCAAGCCTCTAGTGACTGTAGAAAAGGGAGGAGTCCAGCAAGAGAGCTATTCCAAGAAATGGAATAGACCAACTAAGACTGGCCTGTGGGGGATTTTAAGTTTCACCCAAAAACTAATACAAAGAAAGGTCTCTACATTATTGGGAAGGCCTATAAACAGGAAGAACTAAAGCAGAGGAGAGGAGAAGGCAGAGCCAAGACTTCACACCAATTATACAATTAACAAGGGCAGACAACACAAACAAGGGAATAGGCGGTTTTTCCCATCTTATTTCCAGCATCTTGGAGGCTGTACTCGACTCCGGCCACTGGGGGGAGGGAGTTGCTAAATCTTTAATACTGAGGAGCTTTCCTCCAATCAATATTCTTAAGAGTACTTTTATTACCTCCTCGCTAAAAGCGGTACTTATTTTATGTACTTGCATTTCTGTTTCCGACCTGCTAGGTGGGCAGGTGAGCTGGGGCTAACGACAGATACTCACCTTGATTCAGGCTCAAACTGTCGACCTTCGACAGGATTTTCTGTAGCACAGTGGTTTAGCCTGTTGTGCTAAGCCCAGCAATGGGTTCAAATTATAGGAAAGGAGATTCCAACCTGAACATTAGGAAGAACTTCCTGACCAGTCTTGCAAGCTCAGGGCCATGGCTTCCCTGATTGAGTCGATCAACATGTAATGCAGTTTTCCCCATTTCCTAAAGCTTTCTACCCTACCAAGCATTATTGTCTTTCCCATTATTGTCTTGACTTTCCCATTATTGTCTTGACTAATCAGGCATTCAACCTGATTAGCTCTTGGACCCACCAAGTAAACAATGATTTTGATTCAGTTCATTTTGGTTTGGTTCAGTCCATGGAGACCCAGATTCGTACTCCATTGTCTTAGGCACTCTGTTGCGAATCCATTTGGAAATGCTTGAAACATGTGTGGGAAGATGTTCTGCCAACATTGGGGCTGATGATTCTTTATTGCAATTATCTCTAAGATCATATTTTAATTTATTTCTCTCTTGTGGGTATTAAAACTTCCAGTTGGGCTCGAAGCAACAAACGAAGTACTGTAAACAGAACAGGTTGTTCTGAACCAAATATGACAAAGAAAATCCAACATGATAAATAGGAAAGCAACAATGTTACAGGATTGTTTTACATTTTGTTGCAGTAATGTATGTTACTTTAAAATGGGCTTTATTTGTTGAAATATACAGTATAAACAAACAATTGCAACACACAAATACAATGGCTGTAAGTAGCGAGAGCAAAGACAAACAATAAATGGCAGCCGTAATACACTCTTTTATATATGATTTTAAATTTATCGCTCAATGTTCCTTTAATCACATTGGGTTGGACTATTGTGCCAGTTAAATCCTCCCCAAAACCTTGACTACATTTACATCAGTGTTTCTGGGGGTGTCAGAGGTGTCGCCAAAGACCATCAGAAAACACAGTATTTTCTGTTCGTCATGGGGGTTCTCTGTAGGAAGTTTGGTTCAATTCTATCATTGGTGGGAAGTTTGGCCCAATTCTAGTGGAGTTCAGAATGCTCTTTGATTGTAGGTGAACTATAAATCCCAGCAACTCCAACTCCCAAATGTCAACGTCCATTTTCCCCAAACTCCGCCAGTGTTCACATTTGGGCATATTGAGTATTTGTGCCAAGTTTGGTCCAGACCCATCACTGTTTGAATCCACAGTGCTCTCTGGATGTAGGTGAACTACAACTCCAAAACTCAAGGTCAATGCCCACCAAACCCTTCCAGTATTTTCTGTTGGTCATGGGAGTTCTGTGTGCCAAGTTTGGTTCAATTCTATCATTGGTGGAGTTCAGAATGCTCTTTGATTGTAGGTGAACTATAAATCCCAGCAACTACAACTCATCCCCAATTTGGGCATATCGAGTATTTGTGCCAAATTTGGTCTCACAAGTCAAACCTGCAAATGTGAAAGGCTGTATCGAATCTGTGGCTAAGTGGGCCGCAATGTATGCCAAAAATATTGTTTCCAAATTTTGCAGGTAAAGGACGGGAGGCCTAAACTAACCTTAACGTCATCCATCGACTGCACTTTCCCCCCTCCCCGCTCCGCAAGTTTTTGGGATACAGCCTGGGACTCCCTGGACCGAAAAGTGTTTCTAATCGCCTTCATAATGGGATTAAGCCATGATAATCTAGTTCTTATGAACTTCATTTAAATCCCTTTGAAGCCCATGAGGATGGCTGGCAGAGAATAGTTTCCACCTGAGAAACTATTTTGGTTTCTGTTTGCCGCTTTTTAGGCCATGGTCAAGAAAACCAACATTTACCCTTTTCTGGATGTGGCATTTATATTATCAGGGACCCTAAAAGAGTCTTCGAAGAGAAAGTTCTGCTGTCTTGCCCGAATGCTATCCAACACAATTAAAGTTTCTGTGAGAGCATGAAAATGTGAGGAGATCAATAGGTACCGCTTCTGCGCTCCATGCAGTTGTGCTGGCCACATGACCTAGAAGATGTCTACGGACAATGCCGGCTCTTAGGCTTAGAAATGGAGACTACTACCCCCCCCCCCCCAAAGCCGGACACGAATAGACTTAATATCAAGGGAAACCTTTATTATTTATTATTATTTATTTATTTAGAGCTTTTATAACCCGGTCTTCTCGACCTCCGAAAAGGGACTCAGGCTGGCTAACAGCAGAAAATTCAACACAAATGTAGTAAACATAATAGCATCATAATACATTAATACAAAATATATTAAAATACAGATGATACAATATCATACAATTACAAAAGCCAGGTCATCAGAATAAAATCACAAATTCATCACCATCCACCAGTGTGGTCATCCGTTATTGACTCGATCATCATTCTGCAAATGCTTTACCTTTACGTTTTACTCCACTTTAATTATATTTCCATCCTATGGTATCCTATGGGATTTGCAGTTTGGAGAGGAGCAATTAGTCCAAACTACAAAGCCCAGGATTCCAAAGGATGTGTCAAAATGAAGGCATAGCACCATCTTGGTCTTTGTTGATTGTTTTTGGTTTCTGTTTGAAAACGATTTGGAAGGTAGACAACCATCTGATTATTGGCAAAGCCCACAATAATCAATATCTTCCTTCCTTTCTTCCTTTTAGGGTCGGCCAGGGCCAATTGGAAACCAAGGACAGCAGGGCGCTCCTGGATTTACCGGAGCAGAAGGCTTGCGAGGGCCAAAGGGCGAGAAGGGATCCATGGGGGCTTCAGGACCAGCTGGATTCAAGGGCGATAAGGTAAGTTGAGCCCATCTCTATGTGGCTTGAAAAGCTTCAAGGCAATGCTGGGTTTTATCAGCTCTGGGCATTACCAAGTGGGCTCAGAGTTGGTCTAAAGTCTGATGCATCTCCCAGTGATAATGCCCATATTCATTTGTCCACATCAGTAGTACAAAGGCCACTC